CTAACTGTCCCTGGATATCAGTGGGAGATGGTATCACACTATGACAGTGTGATAGTTCAGCTGCTCAAACTTCCCTTGTTTTTATGCAGAACTCTCAGTCAGTCAAAGAAAGACTTTCTGTACAGGGATGCAAGGACTATCCCAGTAGCAATTAGACACCAGGTGCTGCAAAATGTAATGTTTTCAATGTTTCGTTCTGTAAAAGAAATGATGAAAACCCAGAAATGCTGGATGTCCTGGATATCTCTCAACCTGTGTTTAGAAACATTACATGCACATAGTAGAACATTGGGGAAAGAAAATTCTTAGTGTTTAGATGAAGAAAAGCTCATGTATGATATTGCAATTAAGATACAGAATTTGGAACAAAAACCAGAATTCATTAAAACCCCAATGGAAGAAATCAAAACACATTTAAACGTCCTGTGAGAAACTGAAAAACCGAGGCAAAGTCTCTGGAGTGATTTCTATAGCTGTGTGGAAAGTCAGGTGTTGTGTTTGTAGGAATGCTGGCTCAAGAACAGAAAATTTGCAGCTTCCCAGAAGAGATCACAAGTGATAATGTGGAACCAGGGAATGAAGGTCATGTTGATGACCAGGCAAAAGGATTCTGGAGGAAGCCGAAGAATGTTGCAATATCAAGTGGCCATGTAAAATTAATGGTTTAGAGAAAAATCAATTCCATGGCAATGTTATTGAAGTAGAGAAGAGCCCACTTGACAGGGTATTATGAAAGTATCCAGACTGAGGAAGCCTCAATCAAAATGGCTTTGTTTTCTAAATTTTTCCTGAAATATTGTTTACATGTAATTTTAGGATAGAAAGTGCTTTTTTTTTTTTTTTTTTTTTAAAAAAAAGATGACCGGTAAGGGGATCTTAACCCTCGACTTGGTGTTGTCAGCACCACGCTCAGCCAGTGAGCGAACCGGCCATCCCTGTATGGGATCCGAACCCGTGGCCTTGGTGTTATCAGCACCGCACTCTACCGAGTGAGCCACAGGCCAGCCCGATAGAAAGTGCTTTTAAGAAAGTGATTTTACTTTCTCATTTTTAATCTTGATAATAGTATCATTTTATAAAATAGAAATAATCTAATTTATTCCCATTAGATTGTACTCTTTAGAAAATACAAGTAGTAGACTTTGATTTGGTGAGTCAGTCTATTGTTTCCTAAAGAAAACAATATTATACATGAGGATTTCAGCATACAGAGACTTTTGGAAAACGAACAAACTTTTCCCTCTGTTAATGTTTCTATTTACCAGCATTACAAGAGAAAGATTAAAATTACTTAGTGGTGTCAATAAATTATAGCTGAATTAAAGGATGGCTAGTCCAGCAGTGATTGAGTGGAGAGGACTGCTTGTGGCTGGGGAGTCCAGTAGGGATGGAGAAATTCATATTTAGTGCCCTCTAGCTATGCCAGTCTCTAGCAGGGGCTGCAGTAAATCAGGGTGCTCAGTTAAGGGAGAGGTATGTTCAGGTTGTGATACCTTTCCTGTATCCCTCCTCACTAGGATATCTGAGACATTAGGGCCCTCAGATCATTATCTGAAATCGTGCATTCATCCCATTGTCACTCCATATCCACAATGCCATATTTATGCTGTGCCTGCTGCAGGCCTCAGTCTGGGGCCTTGCTACTGAGGATGGAATGGGGGAGTACCAATGCTCAGCAGTCTGACTGATCCGGAGGTGAGAGGCTAGGTTGAGTTAATCTAGAGGTTCATCCATTGACAATGCCCTTGTGGACAGAGCAGCAGCCAGAGTTGTGAGAGAATCTGTGTCAAGGACTCTTTGGGGTCAGTCAGAACAGGATTTGACCTGGGGCTCTAGGACTCATTGGCGTATGATATCTTTCAATTTATGGCACTTAAGTGGGCCTCAGTTTCCTGATTTGTATATAGGCACAATACTAAGAACTGATGGCCAGTGATCTTGGGAAGGTTCCAATGTGAGTAAAGGGTCTCCCTAATGCCTAGTACCTAGCAGGTGCTCAGAAATGGACAGTAGTTTATATCAAGAGGTCCTTGAAAATGAAACACTGGAGTCAACCTTCTCTTGACAAACAGGGATGAGACAAGCTACCAGGCATTCTCACACAAAAGAAGCATCGCCAGAGAGCTAAGATATTTTTCTCCAATGAAATTGGCTAATGAGGAAAGCAAGGGTGGGGAAACAGAATCTGGGAAGTGGAGATAAACTGCATCCTGCATCCCAGAGCGTGAATCTCTGTCTGAAGTGCACCATGAGCGAGCACACCTTCAGGCCTGTGACTGGTGGAAAACCCTTCTCCATGACCTCTTCTCCTGCACAGCTCCTGCCAGGGCAAATCTGTCTAATGGTTCCACTTTCACTAATGGTGCCCCCACACTCATTTCTGATGGGGGATGAAAAAGGATGGATGTGGCACTAGGTGCACCCCGTGGCATGGATTGGATGTGTCACTTCACTTTTGCTCACATTTGCATTTCTAGATCATTTATTAGAGCCAGATCATTTATTCCCAGCCCACCTGCAAGGGAAGCTAGGAAATGTTGCTTTCTGTGCTCCCAAGAAGAGGAAATTACGGTGCTGGAAACAAACCCCTAATTCTGCCTGTGTTAGTCCATTTTTTTTTATTGCTTATAACAGAATACCTGAAACTGGGTAATTGAGAAACTGGTTCCAAAGTATATATCGAAATCTCAAATCTTGAAGAAAAACAGAGCTGGAAGGCATACACTGTCAGATATCAGTTTCTACTACAAGTGTACTATAATTAAGATAGTGTAGTATTTGTCAGAAGCATCAACAAACAGGCAAGTAGAATAGAATAGAAAGCCCAGGAACAGACCCACACATATATGAGCATACTTCAAAAAGCTCGTGGAAAAACAGAATTAAAAGATAATACAAATTTATGCACGAACTTTTTGAAGTACCCTCATATAGTCACCTAATTTACAAAAATGCATCCCTCTAAATCAATGGAGAAAAATTGGTCTTTCCCACAGATAGTGCTGTATCAAGTAGAGATATCTACTAGGGATACATAGAAGGTTCAACAATAAGCTATTAGGGAAAAAAGGAGAATATCTTTATGATTTTGAAATAGGCAAAGATTTCTTAAACAGGACCCAAAAAGCACTAACTTTGGATGAAAATATAAATGAATGAGACTTCCTTAAAATTAAAAATTTTTGTTCAAAAGTCAACAGTGGGAGTAAGACAAAAAATTGAAAAAGTATTTTCGATACATATAAACAAAAAAATTATATTCATAATGTGAAAATAACTTACAAATCTATAAGAAAAATATTAATTCTTTACAAAGATGTAGGGAACCTAGAACTGACACACATTGCTGGTGGGAGTATAAATTCACATGGTCACTTTGAAAAACTGGCAGTATCTACTAAAGTTAAATGCATGCTTTCCCCATGGCCCACCAATTCTACTCTTGGGTAATTAGCCAAGAGAAATTAGTGTACATGGTCACTGAAACATAAGTACAGAAACATTTACAAGTGTTTTTTCTCCAATGGAAGCAACCTAAGTGTCTATTAACAATAGATAAACTGAGGTATATTAATATAATGGAATCCTATATAGCAATAAAAATAATCTATTGCTGTTACATGTAACAATATGAATGAATCTCACATACTTCATTTTGAGAGAAAAAAAGCAAGACATAAAACAATACATATAGTATGATTCCACCTGTCTGATGTTCACAAACAGTCGAACTGGAAGTATGGTAATGGAGGTCAGACAAGTACTTACCTTGAGAATATTAACTAGGAGGTGTTATAAAGAGGCTCTCGGGATGCTAGAAATGTCTTCATCTAGAAGGTGGTTACATGGGTGTATACAAGGTTAAGAATTAATCTGCTCGCTTGAAATTTATGTACTTTTAAATAGCTCAAAATCTCATTAAAAAGAAAATACAGTTCATAGAGAAAGCAATAAAATAGATCCTATAACACCTGAGGCTGGATGAAAAGCTATGGAATTAGGCTGCAGTGATGTCAATAGGGGAGCTTTCTATCCAAAGGAAAAAGGAAGTCTCAACAGAGCACAGGTATTTGTAGTAAATGGAAAAATAAATCCATTTTAATTTTGTACCTTGGCAAGTTAATACTACTTAAACAAAAGAATTATAGCTCTTGTTTTGAGATAAGTTAGATAATTACTGTAATATGCAAAATGTAGCATCTATCTCATAGCAAACAAAAATATATTATTGGTGCTACTGCTTCTGCTGCTACTGCTGCTACAACTACCACGACTACGACTACTGCTACTACTACTACTACTGTTTTGTTTTTGCTATTGTTAGGGATCATTATTACTGTTTGGGACTGAACCAGAAACTCACCGTATCACTGTCAGCCTCTTCTCACTTCTCACTTCCACATCCCATCATTCAATCCTTTTTCATTTTCTCCAATTCCCCACAAAATAAAGCAACTCAATATTGAGCATGAGAAAATTGATATAATTTATTTTTCAAAGCAGACTGTGGGCCTGTGGTGTGTAGTAAAGGGACAAGGGGTACCCAAGGAGTGCATTCCATCACACAGGGAACTCACAGACTGCCAGAAGGGAGGAGGAGCAGGAGATATCATTCCACTTGCCATTTGTCAGGAGCTCCACACAATCTTCCCCAGGGTCAGCATTGTTGGGCTCGCCGTCATTCCAGTTTTGGTAGACCAGTCTTTTTCCTTCCTGATCCACAAACTGGCCTTCTTGTATCTCATCTGTGATGCCCAGGTAGACCCCTTCCTTGGCCATCTTCTGGATGACACTGTTCTCTTTCGCATTCCTGGGGGTGGCCACAGAGGCCTGGAACTGGGCACACAGAGCCTTCACTCCTCCAAAGGTCATCTTTTCACCATTGGTCAAGAACAACTTCTTCCCAACGTTTTTTCCCAGAGAGAAAGTCAGCCCTAAAATGTGAAAAAGTGGGTAATACTGCCTTGTCTTCAAGCCCGGCCCAAGGGATTTCTCTGGACAGAGATAAAGGTTTTTGAGCATTGAGTTTCCAGGTAAAATATAAAATGCCCACCCCAGTTAAATTTGAATTTCAGATAAACAATGAATATTTTCAGTATGAGTATCTTCCAGGCAATTTCTGGGACATACTTATACTTTCAGGACTCAACACGAACATAACAAAGAGGCATAGGTCCCATTTTTCAGTGAGCAAAGATCAGAGAGTACAGGATCAAGGTTTCTGAACTCAGACTGACCTGAATTTATAAAAGGCCTCTGCTACTTATTAGCTCTGTGCATTTGAGCAAGTAATTTAACTGCTTTGCCCACCATTGCTACCATAAGGTTGTCATGAGGATTTTATGAGAATATGAGTAATGGCTCTACAGGTACTAAAAAAATTAAATGCATTCAATAAATATTTGTTGCTCTCCACCTTTCCCATACTTCAAGCTGCCTGAAGAGTAAGAGAGAATGCTTACACATTTTGACACGGTCCAGTTCTGATCTCAGAGCTGCTCTTTCTGAATCAGCCAGGTGACAATCACAGTCTAGAAAATTAAAACAAATGGAAGGAGCATTGTTGAGAAGGGGTCCAAGAACTGTGCATATAAAGGGGTCAGGTATCTTTTTCAAGCTTAAAAAGAAGTGTTTTTTTTTTTTTACATTGATATTTATACTTTGAAGGAAGATGAAAAATACTGAGAAGCCAAAAGTAGGAAAAAAATCTCTATTTCTACCCAGCCCAAAATATCACTCTTCATCAGTTGACTGCATCCAAAGACACTTTATGCATATGTACATATCACATACATACACATATAAAGAGTCTTCAAAAAATTCATGGAAATATTCATATTATCTTTTCATTTTTTCACAAACCTTCTGAGGTACCCTCGTATGCTGCCTGACAATCCCTCATGATAGCAACTCATAGGACAAATTCTTTACTAAATATTTTTTCTAAAGAAAAAATATTTGCTCTATCAAAGCTAAAAAGAAATCTCTTGAGAAATTATTATAAGCTGATAAATATTGATTAAGAAGATTGCAAGGATTTATCTCTGGGAAGGCATTTTTTGCCTTTTTTTTTTTTTTTTTTTACTACGTTTGTTCCATTAATCAAGAAACCAGGATTTTCCTAACTTGTGCATTACCCAGATGGGGAGAGCATGAGGAAAGCCACATGTAGTAGATGGCATAAATGTCCTTAATATGTTACAGCTTCTCTCATTAAGAAATGGAGTCTATTCCCCCACTCCTTGAACCTGGGCTGGACTTAAGACTTGT